TATTTATCATAATTTAAAAACCTCCATTCAGAGCAATAATCTCTACTATGATTAACAGTTCATATAAAGACAATCATCAAAGTCTTTAATATAGAATATGTTTCCTAATTATAAAGACTTTATGAGGAAAGGTAGTTTGGCTACCTGTCATTTAATCCTATCAAAATTAAGTAAATTTTGCCATTATTTTTGTCATGGATGTATTAAAACATTGTTAAAGACTTTCATATTCTCTCATGAAATTACATATAAAAACAAAACAGTTCAAATTTGACTAGTATCTATTAAAAAAAAGGTACCTTACTTTTAAAGCAAGTTGTCCTTTGTTAACAAAACATACTAAACAGAAGCTAAAGAAACCACATCTGAGCTTACAAAAACCATTTTTTATCCATTTTGTGTTAGTTAGTTTATTTAAGAAACAATGTGAAGATTACTACACCTTAATATATTGTATGAGCATAAACGTGTGGCTTGTTTGCTCATGCTTTACTTTTTTGTATGAATCCACTGATTAAAACCAGCCAATTGTGGTTTAGTAAATTAAAATATCATGAGAAATTCTACAGCCTAACGTAGTAAGGAAAACAGCTGCTGAAATGTGAAAAACTGCAGATGTGTTTCTTTCAGTGCAGTCTTTGTAGCCTATTGTGCTTATCTGCACTTACTACAAGTAATTAGGCTGTGAGAAGTGTGTGTGAGGGTGGAGGTCATGGTATCCCATCCTGCTAAGGAACTGCTTGAATATCCTACTAAATTATCTGCTAGGCTAGAGTCTAAGCATAACTTTAGCTTTCTATAGCTCTTTTTTTGGTATTTGGCTAATTTCTATTTTTAGTGCTTTGTTGCTGTGCTGTTAAATTCATTTCGAAGTGACATGCTTGCAGCTTTTTCTACCTTATGTTTTTCCTCTCTTGAATACTGAGTAATAACAAAGTTAATATCTAAGAACCATGAAAAAGGAAGCTATATTTAAAGCAATGTTTATGTTATTTTGGCTATTTGCTTCTAATTGTTTATACTATAGGGAAAGTGTAGGTCTGCTTAGACTTGGCTTTATTCCAGTAAATGCTGGTTTACCTACTCCAGGTGAAGGCAGCAAAAATGACCTAACCTTTTCCTGTTCCTGCTGGCTCTGGGAAAGGGCAGTCCAATTTAAAGTAAAAATGATGAGAAGGAAGATTTCACTTGACTTTCTACTTCTGGATTTAAAGGCAAAGTTGTCTCTGTGAAAGCCCCTTTGACATGTAAGTTTGATTGAATGATGTTTCTCTACTATAGTTATGCATGTTTATTCTGAGAGTGAATTTAAAGGGTTAAGTATGAACCTTTAAGAACCAAGTATATATTTTTGCCAAACATTAAATTGTTATGAAGTTTTTCATTACAATCAACAGAAACTATTTAACAAAACAAAGTTAAGAATTGGTGGTACTGTTAATATTATTCTTTAAACGGGGGGATTGGGGGGGGATTCTTTTTGTGTTTATTGGATATTGATGTTTTCATCTCCCCAAATGTTTAAGATAGTGGATCATCTCTATGGCTTCCCAGTGTTATCTGTGTATAAATGCTGTGGTGTTGAAGTATTGCTTAATATGAAAATATCAAAGTGCATCTTACAACTGGCAACACCTTTATGGTTATTTATGTCTCTGTAAAAGGACCAGTATCACTGAGGCTCCAATAGCATTAGTAATTTAGAATTAGAAGTTATTTAAATTAAATAAACTTAAAAGAAGCTTTCAAATGCTCATTTGAATAAACTTAAGCAAGCTTGTTACTATTGATAATGATGAGGTATTGCAACATGTTTGCTAACTTTAGTTTAGATCTTCTCTCAAAATAGAAAATGAAACAAGTGTAAGATGTCTATTAATAGCTAGTATTACTAGTTGTCTTCAAAAATAAGTATCCCTATTTTCTATGATCTGATTCACATGCAATCTTTATGATACATTTTAATCATGCTTTGTTGAATAAGCCATTGTGGTCTGTCTTGCATATAATGCTAACCTAAAATTGATGTTTTCATAAATTACATTAAATTAGAAATAAACAAATATTGGTGTGATTTGTGAAAAGGCTATTATAATTTGTACTGATAAAGATTACATTTGCATATATCAAACTAATTAAGGCATAATTTTTGTTGCATAACAATTTTAGTCCAACCCACAAGAGATATAAGACTTAGGACTATTGATGTTTCTCAGACATGAAGAGTTAAGGAATTTGTCTTTGGAGATTTAATGGAGGGAATTGATAACCATGACTACCATAGTTAGCTGACATCAAGAATTCTCATTGCCTGAGAAAAGAAACACCTGTGGGTAGAATATTTATATGTATTATCCATCTCTACCCCTCTCCATTTGTTCTACCAATTTGGAATGTTAAGACACTAATACTCAGCTGAAGATCAAAGGACATAGTTCCTGATTGGTCCATTCAGTTCCATTTACTTAAGTCTAAGTTGGCTAAAAAGTAACTTTTGAGGCCCCATTTCTGGTTTTAAAACCTTAATTGTAATTTCACAATAACCCAGAGAGATGAGTTTAATTGTTTGCTCTCGGCCCTTTTGTTTCAAAAGAGAAAGTAGTCTTCCTACATGGGTTCATGTGCATTTCACTGAGTTTTTAAAAACCAAACTCTCTCCAACCTTTTTATTTAAATGAATATTTTAAGCATGTGATCACACTAGACTTGATTCTAACCAGTCATTCAGAAGGATCTTAAAATGGAATTGATATTTTATGCATGGGTCTTTAGACAGATCCACAAAATAAATGCAATTAACCATTTGATCCAGAAATCATCTCTTTTATTATTCCAGTTCCTAAGCATTTCTACTCAGAAACAGTCTGACATGCTTTCTTCAATGAATAGCATGAAAAAGTAATTTTCAGCTCCAAAAACCTGTCTTCCAAGGTCTCAACTTGTTGATTTTTTAACTTTACTAAAACAACTGAAATTACTTAATCAACACTTACAGTAGCTTAGTAAGGTTAACTGAATGTCAAACTCGTGTCATCATGTTATCATCACATAACATTATCACAATGTTTTTCTCTTCACAGAGCTGGAGTGGGTGTGGCCTGCGCATGACACAACTAGCCCACGGGCCACCATTTTTACACTCCTGACCTAGATTGAGACTATCTGTTCAGTTCTGCTAGCTAGAGAGCTATATAAAAAGAATAGGCCCTTCCCTTGCTTAGTTGCTGTCGCTTGTCAGAAGATCAGTTGGTATAAATAAAGCAAAAAAATCTTAAAATAAGGAATCAAGTTTATTTTTAACTTTTCTGGCCTAATATACATGTGAGATACTGATACTGTCTCACAGTGCAGATGAAATCTCAAGTCTCAGGAAACATTTTCCCCTAAACTGATGTTGCCTAAAAGTCTTAAGTGGATAACAACATGGTCACTTATGTTTTTCTGACTTGGGATGTTTTTTATCATCAATAGCCATCACACATGGATACACATTTTAATTTTATTATTTCTATTTTAAAGCCTACTCTTTCTACACTAAAATGGTGCTTCTTATTACTAGGAAATACATATCATGTTAGGATAGCAGAAGTACATTCCATTTTAGGCATCGTCCAAAGCAGGACTCATGAAAGTTGTTTAAACTAAGAATCGAAGATCATTGAGCTGCCCTATAGATTTACTTTAATTTTTTTAAGCTATTATGCTAACATAAATTTCAAATAAAGTTGCAACTCTTTAAAGTCAGATTTTAGAAATCAGCACATTTTATGATTGGTAAGCAGTTTAACTTATGAATATGCAAATACCATTAATCTGTAAGATGTTTGTGTATATTGATTGGGGGGCTTTGTATAAACTTTATTAATTTTATTATATGCCTATTTTAGAGGTGACCTCTTAAAAATGCATATTTAAAGAAAAAACAGCCCCCTTTTAAAAACTAGTGTTTGACCCATTGAAGTCAGAGGTCATTGAAAGGCTGAAAGTGAGCATGGATCTATTTCTCAAGTCTGCTGCTAAATATTTTTAAATTACAAATCTGGGTTTTTCTAATAATTAAAAATCACAGGGAGACTGCTGTAAGATAATGAAAGAGATAAAGTTTAGTCTGATTTACAATGTCAAGTTTCATTTTTTTTCTTTTTGGAAACATTAATTTAAAATAATGTAATTTCACAATAAGCAGTTTATGACTATGTAGTATTTTTACTGGAAGAGTAAATGTGAACAATTATATTTAACAAGCCATATCAAACTTTCAATGTAGTTTTTTATAAAATGTGTAGAAGCAACACAGTATTGCTGGTATGGAAATACTTGTGTTGTACCTTATTTTAGATTTGTGTTTTTCGGAGGAAGGTTGGTATCATTTTTGGGGTTTTTTTTACCAAACATACTCATATTGTTTCCCCCCCCCCCGCTCTCTTTTTAATGGATAATGAGTGTGTGCTGAATACTGATGAGGCTTTTCCCTTGGGGAGCTATCACTATTCCCCCTTGGAATACAAAATGTCTTTCTGAATGGTCACTTAGACCAAGCCCCTCAGTAATCTATAAAATCATGAACCTATAATACTTCTTCCAGTGAACCATTGCATAGTTAGATACTGCTGTTTATATATTTAAAGTACAGCACTGTGTGTCTGCATGTGTGTTAGAATGGAATGTTTGTGTTTCAAAGAGAGAGAGAGAGAAATGAAGAGTTGATTCCCATAAAAATGCACAAAAGAGCAAATTAATATTGTTTACCAAAAAAGGCTTGACTGAGTTAATCAATTTTCTGTACTACAGAAAGCAACATAAGATCCCAGATTTCCTGTTGAATAACCAGAAAGTTGGTAGGGATCATGAGATTTAATTATTATTAATTTTTGCTCCCCTTTGTTTTTTGTTCTTCCTTCTCCTCTTCTCTTCTCGAACACCCAATTCTAGGAAAGGAAACTGTTGAAATCCTGACTCCTGAGGCACTCTGCCACAAACTGACCTCCTGCGAGTTCACAATGCAGGAGAGTGAGGCACTGGAGAAGAAAGTTCCTGCTGTCCAGACACAATTCTTTCCATCTAGCCAGAGCCGGGAGGGGAGCCGAGGAAAGCTGAAAAGGCAACGGTACCAGGAGCTGCCATTGGAAGGAGCTGTCTGCATCTCTCAGTGCTCTACTGAGCATGTCTCAGAGGAGCCTTATGCTGGCAACACATTATGCAAAAAGGCAGCTCGAGCAGGCGAGAGAGAGTCAGAACAAGCCTGCACACTCCTTGCATCACCAAAGCTTGAAAACAACCCTGGATTACTTGAGAGGGCCGGCCTGCCTGCCCAGGTGAACGAAGCTAAGCACCATGGCTTGATTCCTGACATTGCCCGACTGCTGAACACCATGGGGAACCAAGATGGGAAGCTGAAGAGGAACGCAGGTGATGTACACGAAGGAGGTGAGGATGCTTCTGGGCCCAGGGATGTTGAGGGCACAAAGAAAGGAGGGGGCAGCAAAAAGACCCTGGGCCGGCACAGCAAAGGGGGAGAATCAAAGAAGAAGGGCAAGTCTGAAGCCAGGTCATCCGTGTTTTCTAATCTGCGCATCCGGAAAAATCTTTCCAAATCTAAAGATGGAACCAGCAGCTCGAGAGAGGATGTTTTAGAGAGCCAGGCCGTGCACACAGGAGAGCTAGACAGTGCTCACTCCCTTCTCACCAAAACTCCTGATATAAGCATTTCTGCAGATGAAGGGGGTCTCTCGGATACCGATGCAGAGCATTTTGAAAATACAAATGAAACTCACCCTGCAGCTGCCAAGCCGCAAGATGGACAAAGAACCAGCTCCGGCTCAGATACGGATATATACAGTTTTCATTCAGCCACCGAACAAGAGGATTTGCTTTCTGATATTCAGCAGGCAATTAGACTGCAGCAGCAGCAGCAGCAGCAGCAGGGGACAATTAACATTGGAACTGAGCAGCAGGGCACCAAAACAATGGCCCTACACATGGCTAATTCTCAAGCAACCCCATTCGATTTTGAAAGGTTTCTTTCACTCAGCAGTGACAAAGACAGTAGCCCGGATACCGAGCAGCCGGTCTCTGCAAAATCAGAAATTGTAGAACATGTCCCAAGTTGTCAGGCTGAAGTGCCGGAAAGGGCAAACGGAATGGAGCACTCCTGCAGCAGTGTGTTTGAGATGCAGGAAGGGCCCGAGCAATTGTCATCAGAAGAGGAACAACCTGCTGGTGAAGGAGGAGATGTCTTCTCTACTCCCAACGCTGCAATTACAGAAGAGGAGGGGGCTCTGCTGGGCAGCTCGGTCTTTAATTTCCCACCCCCGGCTGGGGAGTCTGAGACTGAAAGAGTTGCAGGTACAGGTGGCGAAAGAGAGGCTGAACTGGCAGGTGCAGGCGGGGATCAGGTGGCTGTGGCCACGGACAGGAAATGGAGTTTGTCAGCTAGCAGGGAAGCAGGGGAGGAGGGCTTTTCTGTGGAAACGAAAGATGGGACTTGTTCCTCAGAGGACGTCTCCAGCAGTCCAGTGCACACTTCCAGATGTTTTAAATCGTACCCTTTCATCAACCCCTGCTATGTCAAAACCACCACTAGGCAGCTGAGCTCTCCGAACCGTTCACCCTGCCTCTCCCCCTTGCAGAGCCCTCTCTTTAAAAGGAGACGGGAGCCCTCTCGACTGAAAGAGAAGGCACCAAGCAAGAAACAGAGATCTGCCAGTTTGGCAGGGTCGTTTAGCCGATCTGCAGACTGGACTCACGAGGTTACAGATCAGCCCAGTGAAATCGCTCAAAAGTCAGGCTCTGCAGATTTTTTGGAGTACAGGCAGACCAGAGATGGTATCCAAGGGGAAAGAGTGCCTTTGAATCACTTGAGAAAGTTCTCAGGAATGCCACCTTCTACTGATGCCTTCCCTAATGTATTTCGAGGTAAGTGTCCTACATAAACAAACAGTTGCTGCAGCTTCATCTCTGAAGCAGAAACATCTAAGCATCATAACAACTTATTTTCTCTTGTTAACTTGACTTTCATTTACAGCTCGGCTGAGATCCCAACCTCTGCAAATAACTACAGGAGTTCTGTGTTTTCAATAGAAATGAGTATAATGTTTGTTGCAAAATTCATCACTAAAGCATGTTAGTAGTACTCATTAGGCAAAGTGATGTAGTACATTATAAACTATCAGTGAATTGTTTGCATCAAGGCCAGTGAATATAATGTCTAGGTTTGTGTGGGCCTTTCCAGACTTATTGTCCTCCAGATATGTTGGTGTATTTGTGATGACTGAGATTTCTGGTTGCTGTCCTGGAGAACCATGACAGCTCAGGAGTCTTGGGAAATGTAGTCCCAACACAATTAGAGGCCTTCGCTTTGGAGGAGAATAACCTATTGTGCCCATAGAACAACTTGTTAATAATGATAATTTATTTTCTGCATCGATTGTGATATGCAAATACCTTGTAGCTTTGATAGAGGTTTATTATATAATGGTTCCCATGCCATTTTAAACACAGGGATTCCTGAAAGTGTAAGAGTGATCATAGTTGACCAATAGATTAATGGTTTAGTCTAGATAGAATCCTAACACTTCATTTCCTGAGCCAATCTGGTCTTTATCTGCCACTTACACAAGTTTCTATTTCTGTCTATTTCTAAAAAATATTACATTTTATAACTTATTCCTTTTTTCACCTCTTTCCTTTAAGACTGATCATTGTTACATTAAAAGAAAGCTCAAATAACAGCAAAGGGGAATTAATAATTGTACCCAAGGGTTAGGGTTCATTTCTGAATCAGAGACCCCTACCAAATTGAAGAGGGCCTTGAATCTCCTGCAAGCTTTCAAAGGCTGAGGTGCTGGGTCCCTCTATGATACCCACCATCTCACAGCTACTTTTTCTGTCTGAAACACCTCTGGACCTTGTCTCCATCCAGCATTCTTTGTGATCTGATTGCAATATTAATATGAAATCTCTACAAAGAAGATCAGAGAAAGGAAGGGACCAAGGCAATTAGGCCCAATACTTGATTCATTACCAAGTTTAGGTTTAAATAGAGCTTATCGGATGGGAAGTAACAGGGTCATCACAATTCCCCCAACTTTTTCCTAAGCCCAGCCTGGTAATGAACAAAGACATATTTTTGTAGTCCTTTTATGAATCTACTAGCACTTCAAGGACTTGTGTGTTGAGGAAAGGACCCAAGACATTTTGGGGGAAGAAGTGATGTTGCAATAGCCCAGCTCTGTACTTCTCAGGCCAGCCTGTATGTTTCACTTTGTAATGCTGGGGTCAGTAACTACTATATTGCACTACATAGGATCCTCACTACTCACCCCAAAATATTGCATATTGACACCAAGATTGGGTCTCCATTTGTGGGTTTTTTATTAAAAATCTATCTTTTTATACTGAACATTATCCATTAGGCAACATGGTTTTTAAAGTGCATTCAACTTGAGTTGATGAGACTGTGGCTTAGCAATCAATTAATCACTTGCAAAGTATTCAATCAGTGAATGAGTTAGTTTTCAGTAAGAATTTCCAGATAGAAGACCTAGATATTTTCAGGATTGCCTTCTAATCCATCCATAAGATCTTGTAGATCTTTAAGTCCCCTTATTTAATGACTGCCATTTTTAGGGGCCTTGGAGATATGCCTTTTCAATCAATGTCCCTTTTTCTTTGGTGTAACATTCCCCCAAGGTCCAGATCTGAATCATACTCTGCTAGGTTTTAGAAATGTCACCCAAACCTGTTGGGTTCTTTCTCCACAGACATTAATGAAGGGAATGTTGTGAATGACCCCTTTTGTAATCTGATGTTTAATAAATATAGAGGTCTAATTATCTCTGGCTTTCTGTTTGGGTTGTATGATTTGTGTAGCTTAAGAACTTCTTTACATCAATAGGATATGAGGGTGACTCTGATCTAATTTCAATTTGAGCAGCATAGAAACCTAGCAAACAAATATCCTCTATTACATTTATCACCTACACTAATACCTACCCATGGAATGGTCGGAGAACCATTTCAAGAATACAACACAGACAAATTTTAGCTGGTATCCTCCTAGTCCTGGGGAGCTTTGTCATGAGAGTAAGTTCCCATTTTGCAACTTCACCCACTGATCTCACTGTGAACAAAGAGAGATTCAATTTAGTTTGTATGGATGAAAAAGTCCTGGACCACAGATGCAAAATCCATGTAGTGCTAGGAATGACATTTAAATGTTTTCCAAATAAAATGTTACTTCTGAATAAGATGATGGATGATATTTATTATTTAAAATCTGCAATTTATATCAATATAACTTGAGCAGAGGTAAATGTGGGGTCCTTTACAGATGTCATCTTACCCTTTTGCCTAAATATTAAGAAATCATAATGATCTCTGGTTTTAGTTTTTTGCTGTTTTTTTTCCTGTTTTTTCCTGTTCCTGTTTTGCTGTAAATATATTGACATCCATACAAACTAAGAGACTTTGCGCTTTGAGTTTTTCATATTTTCTTCCCTTGGTATTACTCAGGTAGTAATGTATAGAGGCAAGGCAGCTTGTAATTCTCCAGAAATTCTCAAACAGCAAGTCTCCATATAGCATTTAGTTATTTTTATAACTAAATAACTAAAGACATCTTAACAGTTGAATACAATTGAATCAATTACTACCACTTAGGGATAGAGCTTTTAATATACACCCATAGTTAATTTAAACATAATTCACTTAATCCAATTTTGGGGATTCATGTGTCTTATTATCTATACTATAAAGACATTGCCTGAATTTGTACAGGAATCTGGGCTATGATTAGTTGCCATGTTAGTGAGCCATATGAAGACAGCCATCTAATGGTAAGCAGTGTGCCGTCTTTTAAAAAATGAAGTCACACACTGTGAAACAATCACATTATTATTATAAGCTGTGCTTTAGAGTGTTTATGAAGCATACAGACATAACAGGTAGAAGATAACAGGTAGATTAGAATTAATAGATGGGGCTGTGCAATGTTGCATAGGGCTAACAACTGTTTGCAACCTTAAACCAAATAAGTCTTTTGCTGCAGGTATGGTGTAGGTATCAAGGATACCTATGTGAACCTGGGGGGAGGTTAATTTAAGGAGTTGCAGATGGGGATCATATGTATATCCCCCATACATTCCAACACATCTGAATTTGAAGTGTTGCCCAACCCTACTACATCATTGTAACAGCTTGAACAGAAATCCAAAAGAAATGTAAGTTTGAAAATCAAATCTTGATATAGGTTAGAAACTGACATACAGTAATATGTTGTAGGAAAATACATGCTGGTATCAAGGAGAGAAGCAACCTAGAACTTAGGAGAAATTTCCTGACTTGTTAGAACAATTAATCAGTGGAACAACTGGCCTCCAGAAGTTGTGAATGCTCCAACACTGGAAGTTTTTAAGAAGAGATTGGATAACCATTTGTCTGAAATAGTATAGAGTTTTCTCCCTAAGCAGGAGGAGGTTGGACTAGAAGACCTCCAAGGTCCCTTCCAACTCTGTTATTCTGTATCATGAGTGAAAGTTGCAGAATAATAAAAGTCCCAGCAAAATTTCTAGTCATATACAATAGCTGATTTGGTATGAATTTGGGTATGAATCCTTATTCTGGGATTGCTTTCAAGCTGTCAGCCACAAGTAAAGTCCAATCTTCAGCTTACTTCTTTTTATTTTTGTTTGTGATTGAAGGATCGTATTGCTTCCACGTAAAGAGGCGGGAGAATTTACTAAGCAGGGATGGCCTGATAGTTTAACTTGTGTGTGTGTGGGGGGGGGGGGGGGACGACTCCTTCATTGCTCAGAAGTCTGTAAATCATTTAGTTCTTTCTTCTTAACATTTAGTTCTTTCTTCTTTCTCAGAAGGAAAATGTTGAATTTTTGTTCAATTTTAAACCCAGCAGATGTCTGTTAAGTATGAAGACCTATTTTCTAAGATAGCTAACTTTCTTTTCACTCACAAAAAGTCTTTGATGTTTTGAATTGAGTCACTAACTTGTACACTTTGCATTTTAAAAAGCTGCTTCACTTTCCCTGTTAGCTTTTGTCATGCTAAAGCATTAGCACAAGAGATCTCATGACTATTTTACTTTCAGGCTCTTAACCCACTTTCTTTTTCCTTCCAGAGTTTCCCTTTTTTCCCCTTGATCTGACTTTCTCTCATATGACACTATAGTACATTGTCCTTTGCTGCAAAACTTCTATCCTTTATAATAAATAATGAAATAATTATAAATTAATTAATTTGGCAAGAGGCTGATTCTGCCTTTCAGTTCATGCAGGTCCTTTTGCTGAAAACAAGCTAAAGTTTCTCATTATAAAACACAAATAGAAGATCGAATTCAATTTTTTTGAATAATTTTCTTAAACATTAGAATTACAATACTATAAACTAATATAACATTCAAACTAATATCAATTCAAAGAAAGAGTGCAAAGGGGAAAAAAGGGAAGAAGTGAAAAACAGAAGAAAAAAAAGGAAAAGAATATTGTATATGTGTGTAAGAGAGATTTCCAAACTTCATCACAAGTATAAACAATTTTAGTAATGTTTAACCTCCTCTTAAATTTCAATATACCTTCTCTAACCAATAAACAAACCCATAAGGCACCATACTTTCAGTTCTGGTCTTATGAAATGTCCATTAAGGGTTATTAGATATAACAATATATCTACAAATATGCTCTTTTATTGGTAATATCTATTTTAACCTTGGTCAAATAAATCAGCTTTATATTCCTTCCGTTTACTTGTAATTTTAATCCCTAGTATCAGCTATGGAATTCATTGCTGCCACATAGTTGAGAAAGTGGGAGTGGGTGATGTTAATTGAGTAGCTCTTAGTAGACAAATATTTTATTTTGAAAGTTCAAGGTTACAGAGTATGGCGCAGAAAGAATTAGAAC